GAGACTGTCCAAAAAAAAAAAATTGTTTAAAATTCTAAGTGAAAAAAATAAATCAAATTATCTTCAAAGCCAAACAAATAAACACCCAAATTTGTTTTCATAGAGGGACGTTATGTAGACTAAAGGGCATTGCAAGACTCTAGACTTCAGTTGCTGTTTGCGCCAGAGGCGGGAGCCCTGGTTTAGTTTGGCTTGGTAATTTGTTTATGACCTGACACGCTGTGTATCCTTAAGGAGAATCGCTTGAACCCAGGAGGTGGAGACTGCAGTGAGCTGACATCACACCACTGCACTCCAGCCTGGGTGACGGACAGAGACTCTGCCTAAAAAAAAAAAAAAAAAAAAAAAAAAAAAAAAAAAAAAATTTGTTTAAAATTCTAAAGTGAAAAAAATATAATCAAATTATCTTACAAAGCCAAACAAATAAACAAGCCCCAAATTTGTTTTCATAGAGGGACGTTATGTAGACTAAAGGGCATTGCAAGACTCTTAGACTTCAGGTGCTGTTGCTGTGCCCAGAGGCGGGAGCCCTGGTTAGTTGTTTGGCTTGGTAATTTGTTTATGACCTGACAGCTGTGTGTCCCTAAAAGACCTTAGTGCTTGGGGAAACTGAAGAGGTGCATTGGTCTTTCCTTCGTCTCCCGCATGCGTTAAAGTATAAACCAGCTAATGAACATTTCTCCTCAACCTGAGAATTTGGAGTCTTTGACTCATGGAGACCAGGCACAGCCCAGGCCACTCTCCCGCATGCCCAGCTCCCTAGCCCTGTGTGCCTCCTTCATTACACTGACCACATCATTATTAGCTTTGTTTCTGTCTCCTTGGCTCGACGGAAAGATCCCCAAGGGTGTGGGTAGTATTGTTCAGTTTGCTATGGTAGTTCCAGGTCTTGTCTGGTATATAGTTGGCACACAATAAATAATTATTGAAAGAATAAATACACGAGTGAATGAACAGTTGGATGAACATGATTAAAAGACCTAAGGATAAACATGATTAAAAGAATTAGGAGAAACAAGGAAATAAAACTTGCCTTAAGAAGCTTCCATTCTATTTATTACCAAATAAAAAAGAAGGGTGTGTTTACATGTTATGAAACTGGGTGGATAAATACCCAAGATGCTTACCAAGGTGGGGTGCGTGAAACAACCCACAGGGTTCTTACGACTCCGAATTACGCAACTGCATCTATGGTAAGTAATTTCACATAAACCCTTTGTTTCAGTTTTTCTCATTCTAAGTTGGGCACAGTAGGTTTTGTGCCCAGAGCACACTGGATTTTGAAATTTCAAACAAGGAACACATAAAGGGTCATTTCATAGTATCAACACTGTGCCTGGCACATATTAGCTGCTCAGTGAAATTAGAGTGAATACATGGATATGCAAATTATAGCTCAAACCAGCCTACCTCTCAGAGCAAAAAGCTGATTTGTTCCAAGTAGTGCAGCTCTTTGGAGCCAGTGGGGCCCCATGGGTACGAGCTGGAATTTTTGCTATGCGGCTCCTGTGCTTACCATTTGTTAACTTGCTCCACAGCAATGCTGAGGCGACGTGCAATGTCTTCCACTGTTTCACTGTTGGCTGAAATGATCCCCACACTCTTGGCGATCGCTTTGGCTGTGATGGGATGATCACCAGTAACCATAATAACCTAGAGCACGCCAACGAGAAGGCCCATGGATAATGAAGAACTCGGCCGGTCAAAGTGGGGATGGCTCAGTATAGCCTACTCCATAGCGCCCTGGGAGAATGTGGCTGGTGATTACAGCGGCAGCTCTGGATCTACGAGACAACTGTCTTTGGAGGAAACACTAATCCCACTTGGTCTACCCTTGCTCCTAAGCTTCACACACTTCCTCCTCTGACACGAAAGGAAGCCCTTCCCCTTTGACGCCACTTTATTTGTGAAAGGGCTGGTGAGTGTCTGCTTGGGGGCAGCCTCACGTTGCTTCAACAGTCTTAATATTAACATAGTAATGATGAACATGGATTATGGGGACTGAGCCTCAAGACTGGGTAATAAAGCCTTTTTTCTTTCTATTTTTTTTTTTTTTTTGAGATGAGAGTTTCACTCTTGTTGCCCAAGCTGGAGTGCAATGGCATGATCTCGGCTTACTGCAACCTCCGCCTCCTGGGTTCAAGTGATTCTCCTGCCTCCGCCTCCCCAGTAGCTGGGATTACAGGTGTGCGCCACCACGCCTGGCTAATTTTTTGTATTTTTAGTAGAAACGGGGTTTCCCCATGTTAGCCATGGCTGGTCTTGAACTCCTGCCCTCAGGTGATCTGCCTGCCTCGGTCTCCTAAAGTGCTGGGATTACAGGTGTGAGCCACTGCGCCCAGCCAATAAAGCCTTTCAGTATCTACCACGGACTAGGGCGAGATATGGTCACTTCAAAGCACTAGGAGATTCTTCTCATTGCACTTACTGTGTGTGTGGTTCATTCCACATAGACACAATCATGTTGTTTTTGTGGGACAGTTTCAGTAACTTTAGCACAGTGAAACTAGAAATAAAAATAGGAATTTGATATTTACTTGAAGACACCTAAATACTGACCGTCTCCTATGAAAAACATTATTAGAAAGGAACACGACATAAAGAGAGAGGTTCTTGAGTCAGGAAAATAACTCCCACCTTGATCCCTGCACTCCGGCATTTGGTGACTGCATCTGGCACAGTGGACCGAGGGGGATCGATCATTGACAAGAGTCCCACGAAACAGAGGTTGGAGGTCGGAAAGTTCATAGCGTCTGTGTCAAATTTGTAGGTTTCTGGAAACTCGTGTGCTGGCAGGTAGAGATGACAGAAACCTGTAATACGGATGAATTAGGGAGTCAGTGAAACTGGAATAGGAAACCAAAAAAAAAAATAAGAGGGGAACATGCCGATACACCTCGGTCCTCTACTGTTTTACGAATACATTAGAATAAGCCAGAATTGTTTAATTTCTTCAACTCCATAATGCATTTCTTTAGGCGGACAGAGACTCTGCCTAAAAAAAAAAAAAAAAAAAAAAAAAAAAAAAATTCTTTTAGGCCGGGCGTGGTGGCTCACGCCTGTAATCCCAGCACTTTGGGA